GCCGAGAGTTGGCTGTGGCTAAATAAAAAGCGACTCTCCTGGATCCCTTTCACCCCCATGCTTTCAAGACATCGCGAGCCTGAATTGAAAGCAGCTCAAAACTAAAGATGCTCTCGCGATTGTTCGCCGCTCGGTTCTCCGGCGGAAATTAGAAGAGGTCTCTTCTTCCTTTCACGGGGCGAGCAGAGAAGAGCGTTCGGTTACGAAATTTCATTTTTATCGGGGAGAGAAGGGACTCGCAAGCTTGAGCGGGTCGCGCGCGATCTCCGTCAATAAAATGGCCGCCGCGGACCCGGGAAATGGCGGAAAATCTAGCGTTGTAAGAGAGATGATCGTGGATACTCTTGTTTTACAATGAATAGGTGTTTATCGATACAATGTAGATTTTGTTTGGATATTCTTCGAGATCGGAACTTCGTTACTTTGATATTTCTCGCGAGAAGATGCGACGCGGTGTAATTTTAAGCGCGGCGTTCACGATTACGCGGCTTATCCGTGTACCGCGCGCGCGTTTCACGGGATCTATGACGGAATTTAATTTAGATCTGCTCGGGTTCGCGCGTAGCCGCGTCAAAGGCGCGGAATTTCGGAATTCCGTTCGTCGAGAGCGGGAAAAAGATTGAAATAAAACGGAATTCCCTTTGATTCCGCCCATGTTATAATGCGATTGCGATACAATTATAACAGAATGATAGCGCAATTACGCGCCGCTGTTTTTGCTGCGTTTCATTTGGGAATGAAAACATTTGGAAATTGGAAAGCTCGAGGCTCAGAACATTTGAAAGTTTGAAACCTAAAAATAATGAGAATTTGGAATTTTTTAAATTAGGAAGATTGGAATTTTGTAACTATGGAAATTCGGAACTTTGTAACGTTGCAAATTTGGAATATAGAACATTGGAAAGTTTGGAAATCTGTAATTTTTAGAATTAGAAAGTTGTAAACGTTGAAACTATGGAAATTCGGAACGTCAAAGCGTTGAAAATTCAGAACATAGAAAATTAGAAAGTTCGAAGGCTGGAGAATTAGGAAATTCGTGAAATCGTTTGTTCTCTCGTGAGTTAGAGCTCACTAGCTTCCGCACAACATAGTAGAGACACGATAGAACACCCTGATCCTTGTCAGACGAGACTGCTCCGTTGGCCGCACGTGCTTCAGACACGATGCCTTCGATACGACGTTCAATTACAAACGAGTGCCGCCTTGTTAGCCGATGGAAACTCATTAATTTCGCCGGACGGATCGAAACTTTAACCGTGGCCCCTTTGAGGCATCTCGAGGCTCATTAAATGCTCGAGCATGTATGCCCGAGACACGAGGCGCAACTCGGTGCTCGTCCTCTTTCGTTACTCCACCAACAGAACGCGAATTCGGGACTCGTGCTCGGTATCACGACATTCCAAACGTTTTCGTCGTACAATCTTATTCCAATTCGAATCATTTGAAGTTCCTCGTCGAAACTATCCAAAACATCGCATCTATCATCGAAGAGTCAGGAAAACTCAGAAAGAACTCACCTAGACCTTTTCATGTGACAATCTCATTCCTCTAATCCAAATCATTTCAACCTCCTCGTCGAAACTATCTAAAGAGCGTCGCATCTATCACGGAAAGATTCAAAATAATCCAGAAAAAAAGGTTAGCCGGAGGTTCCAATCGAGTAAATTATCGCCAGGAGTGCATCGTTTATCGAGGGGGTTGGTAAATTTCGTCGGCGCGGAATTGAAACTCTCCCCCGATGGAAATTGCGTGCTCAAGCCGGGGTTTACGCGGGCGTCGCGTTCGCAATAACTCTTTCTTTGATCCCTCATTCGTTTCCATTTGTTGGGGGTTGCCGGGGCGAGCGTTAACTCGATATTGCGTTTCAGTCATGCAACGTTCGCCGACGGACGACGCCGCTGCCGACGAATAAACCCGTCTGCGCCGGCTATTTTCGTCCGCGCCGCGACGCGACGCGAGGCGAGGCGACGCGACGCGTTTTCGAGGCTTAAGTCTCGCGCTTTGAATTATCGGGCCGTATACATTTCTTTGGATCGCGGTTCCGCGGCTGCCGCGACAAAAGCCAGACTCTAACGAACGGTTCAATTTATTCCGAACCTGAAAAATAAAAAACTCGGAATACCCGACGCATTCAATGCCCGGTTTCCTCGCGACACAATGCGGATTCGCGCAAAAATTATTCGGCAGCGCGAACTCGAAGGACTTTTTTTTCTTTTTTTTTTCCACCCTCGTCGTCGAGCCCCGTCTCTTTTTATGCTGGTATTTCGAGTGATATGCAAATCTCCTTTGCCACCGGGAAATAGATAATACGGGAACGTTAGGAACATTCGAGTTTTCAATGGACTTCCGGATTCTGTGACGCTTCGGAGGATTTTCGAAGGGTGAACCTGTGCGGGGATGAATTCCTTTTGACGACCGACAAAGATCAGCTTAGTTTTTGTTTAACTGTAGTTCGGTTTGTTCGAATTGACTCGGATCGAATCGAGGCGGACGGAGATACGAGGAATATCCCGAAAAATGGACGTCGACGATAGATTTACGGGTGTATTGTACAATTTATTCTATTGTTCCTAGAACTACGTTCGTCTGTGTCAATTGAAAATTGTAGCTTGAAATCTAGAATATCAACATGGAAATCACGTTGTTATTTTAACCCTTTGTAGGCCCGTGTAACTTTGAAGTCGCATATCAATACATTGGCATCCTGTTAATTTATTTCAGTTTTCACGGCAAAGTGATGAATACAATTAAGTAATCAGTTAACTTGAACCTTTCTACGCTCAGGTGTGAAAGTTCAATGTCACTGTAATTTGAAAGATACAAAATATATTAATCTAATAAAATTATTCAAACTATTGAATACATTGTTAATTTGTTTTCATATGTTATTCATTAATTTCGTACGGCAGATATTTTGTTATAATCATGAAACATAATTTGGCCCATAGAGGGTTAATATTTACAATTAACTGAGTATCGTGCTAGTTTAGTAATCTAAACTTGAAGCACCAGTCTATTAAGGGTTG